GGGGCACGGTCAGTGAACAGGGAGAGCCGCGGCGGCGGGCGCGAGCGGCGCCCGGCATGGGCGGAAGGGCGCCCGGGCGGTGGCGACCGGCGCACGGTGACGCACCGGAAGTGGGCGAGGCCTCGCCAATGTCCGGGAAGGGGGGACTGGAGGATAGCAGCAGCGGCGAGGGGAAGGACGGCGCCGAGGCCGAGTACGACGTGTCCACCCGCGGCCCGGGGCCCGGGGTGGCGGCATCGGGTCCAGCCCCGGCCCCGGCCCCGGCCCCGGGCCCGGCGGCCAGTTGGCAGATGGGAATCGAGCAGGACCCCTCGGGACCGCAGCCGGCAGGGCCGCCGGCATTCGGCTCGAACTGCGAGCCATGCCAAGCGGCGTCCTCATGCGGCGCCGTGCCGGGGGCTTGCTGCCTAAAGGCAAATGGCCGCGAGGCAGCCAGCCCGAAGTCCGGAGGTTGGGAATTGCCCTCGGCCGGGGGGAAGTACTGTTGCTGAGCCTGCTGCATGGCGAGGTGGCGGTGCTGCTGCTGCTGCTGCTGCTGCTGCTGCTGCTGCTGGTGGTGGTGATGGACGGCTTGCTGTTGTTGTTGTTGTTGCTGCTGCTGCTGCTGCTGCTGCTGCTGCTGCTGCTGCTGCTGGAAGTGGAAGTGCTGCTGGGCCTGGGGGAAGCCCGGGGCCCCGGGCGGCGGAAGCCGTACCAGCGTCGGGCCCGAGTAGGACAGCGCACCGCGGAGGTGCGTGGCCGCACGGGCGCTGGCCCCCGGGGCCGGGGTGTCCTCCTCTTCGTCCGAGACAAAGGCCAGCGGGCCGTGCGTCAGGCCGCCGGCCCCGCCGGACAGCGAGCGAACATGGTGCTCCGGGCCAGCGCCCTCATAGGCCCCGGCCAGCAGCGGCACCGGCGAGGGGGTCGACGTGGCGGACCCGCCGGTGGACAGGCGATGCGGGTGCGCGAGCGGGTGCGCATGGCCATGCATATGCGGCGCATGCCCGTGGAAGGGGTGTGCATGGCTGGCGGGGAGCGCCGACGCCTCGGGATTGGCGTTGGCCTGGTAGAGCAGCGAAAAGGACAGGGCCGAGAGGGGCCGCGCGCCGGGGCCCATGGCCGGGGAGAGGGCGACCGCCGGGCCGCCGGCCATGGCGCCGGCAGCGATGGCATTCACATTGCCGCTGCTGCTGCTGGCGCTGGCCAGCGGCGAGGAGGTGGACGGGGACAAGGACAAGGACGAGAGGGAGGCCACGGCCGAGGGGGAGGAGGAGGAGCCCGGCAGCGAAAGCGAGCTGCCGAAGGGGCTGCTCCCGGCGAGGGCCGGGTCGGCGTCGGCCGGGGCTTGGATTTCCGTGGGCTTGCCTCGCCAGGAGAGCAGCCCGGGAGCCGGGGCCGGGGCCGAGGCCACCGGCGGCGCGGCCGCCACCACGGCCGGAGCCGCGTGGAAGAGCCCGCCACCGGTGAACGGCGACCGGACCCCGGCGAAGAGGGACACCGTGGGCCCGGGCCCGGGCCCGGGCGAGGGGGGCCCCCCGCGGTGTGCCACCTCGGCCTGGCCGTCGGACTCCGGCGACAGGGCAAGCATCGTCACCGAGGAGGAGGCCAGAAGCTGGTGCTCGGCCGGTCCGGTGGGCGTGCTGGCACCGGAGAGGATGGGCCCGGTGGCCGGCGGGGGGGACAGCGCCGGGCCGACGGCCCCGGCCGGCGACGCAGAGTAACTCAAGGACAAGGGCCCGGGGAATTCCGGCGCCAGGCCCGACGCCATCAAGGACGAGAAGGGGCCTGCCAGGCCGCCGGGGCCACCGGCCGCGATGCCCGACCGCCGGGCCTCGCCGGGGGCCTCCTCCTCCGACAGGGGCAGGGCGCTGGCTAGCATGGACAGGTCGAGGGCCGCATGGCCGGCCACCGGGTGGTACGAGCCCAGCGCCTCGCCCGAGGGGTGGTGCTCGTCGAAGTGGAAGTGCGGGTGATGCGCCGGGTGGTAGTATGCGGCCGATGTGGCGGCGGCGGCGGCGGCGGCGGCGGCGGCCGAGCACGATGAGGCCGATCGGGCCGCCACGGCAGCCGGGCCCCCGGCAAAGAGGCCAGCCCCCTCGGAGAAGGGGCTGCCGCCGACCTCCGGCGAGATGGAGATCGGGCTGCCGGCGGCCGGCGAGGAGTTCCGGAGGCCGGTGGCCAGCCGGGGCCCGGGCAGCGGGGACGCCCCGCCGGCCGCCGCCGGGGAGGATGCCAACGACCCTCCCGGCGATCCGGGCGACGAGCTGGCCGACGTCAGGGCCGAGGAGGAGGAGGACCCGCCGGCATCGTCGCTCGGGGGGGAGGGCCGGCTGGCGGCGCGAGCGGCGGCCGCGGCGGTGGCCATGGCCGCGGCGGCCGCCATGCTGGCCATGGCGTCCGGGCTGATGGCATGCCGCCGGCCGCGGCTCAGGTGGTTGGCCACGGCCGGCCGGCTGTAGGATTCCGTGATGATGGGCATGCGCCGGGCCAGGCGGGTGTTTCGGGCCCGCGAGCCGGCAAACGGCCCGCCCGGCTGCGACGGGCCCATCAGAGCGGACGCCTTGCCGGTGGCGTGCGAGGCCAGGCTGGACAGGGCCCGGCGCCCGGGCCCGGTGGCCAGCGACCCGACGCCGGTGCCGGGTGCCCCGGCGCGCGGGGCCCAAAGGTGGGGGCCCGATGCCGGTGCCGGGAGTGTTGCGCCGCGCGAGTGTGGCTGGCCGGTGCCCAGGTCGGCCCCGGTGCCGGCGTCGAGCAAATCCTCGCTGCTGGAGTCGGTCGAGGCGCCGGAGTCATCGGACAGGCAGTCCCCGGCGTCGGGGGCCCGGCCCGGGCGTCGGGCGCCCTCGCGTCGCACGGGCGACCGATACGGCTCCATGGTGCTGGGTCAGGGTGCTGCCGTGAGCCGGGGGGGGGGGGG